GTTGTAAGGAGGACATTTGACTTTTAAGAATATAGTCCTCATGTTCCCAGCAGAGGAACACCATGGCTCTGTCTTATCTGCCCGCCTTTTATATGAACCCATTAAACTGTCAACCAATCTCGTAATGTCAGACTGTGTTTTATCACACGCACACACACGCACACACACACACACACACACACACACACACACACACACACACACACACACACACACACACACACACTTATTTTTTTCCCTTTATGTGGCTTCTTTGAGTTTGATTTATGTTTGCCATCGTTTGTCGTTACTTTTTATTTATTTGATTATGTCAGTTTTTCATTTATTCTCCTCCTTTTTTTCTTTCTGTTGTCTCCCTAACTTTTCTTTGACTTGCACTGCCATCCCTTCTTGTCCTCCTTCCTCCCGTCGACTTGCTCCGTATGTTTGGGATGTCTCCTGCAGCGAGCAGGGGGGGGGGGGGCAACTACAGCCCATACAGGGGGCCCCTGAACAGCAGAGCAGCTGGACGGCTGCACAGACCTTCCCCAGGTGAGCTTCAGTGAGGAACCTTTTTACACTCACGTTATACCGGCCACATTAAATATGATTTACATTTTATATGCTAACAATGTAAAAAAACTTTCTGAAAGAACCCACTAGTACTTATCATGTAAAACAATGTTATTGAATAGATCCCAATTAGAGATTTTTTTCCATGGATTTTAAGCAAAATGTAGATCACCTGTTTATGATCAATGTTTCTGCCCACTCTTCAAAGGTTCAAATTCAAGATTTTACTGTCATATGCGTGGAAGTAAAAGTAGCAATATTGAACTGTAAAAGTACTCTGTGACAACTTAAAGTCCTGCATTTAAATCTTACTTGGGTTAAAGTACAAAAGTGTTGGGATCAAAATATATTTAAAGTACCAAAAGTAAAAGTACTTGCTTGACCTAAAGGCCCATTTCAGAATCATACAGTATATCTATTGAGGTGATTATGATCATTGTTGCATGATTGGGTTCATCACATGGCGTCTTCACCCAACAAAGAAGAATCAAGGGAGATGACAGACTTTACTTTGACTACTTTTATTTTGAAAAACAAATCCTCATGTTGAACCAAATCAGCTTTACTTTTGGGCAACCTGAAGAGAAATAACTTTGGGTCAATGTCTCGGTTCTTGTTGTCTTTGTCCCATAGATTGTGAAATAGCTCTAATTTAACTTTACATTTTTCAAACAGACAGGTTTGGCAAAGCTATTAATGTATCAGCCTCATGAACATCTCAGGATGATACATGTGCATCTTCCTCTTATGTGCAGCCGGGATAAGAAAGCTCCAACCTTCAACTGACATAAATATGTGGTCAAGCAACTGAGGAAATAAATACAAGTAAATAGTAGTATGACTATTAGAAACCTCTGGAGCCAGGATCAGAATGTGAGCTCAGTAAGGGCCCGCCCAGCAGATGTGGAAGTGTTCCTGACATTTCCCCAAAGGCCATTTATAATGTGAGTTCATCCGACTTAACCCAAACAGTTTAAGTAGCCAAGACTTTAATGAGAGAAAACGGATATGAATCATTTCTTGTGGTTATACACTCCCTGTAACGGAGGTGATCTCTGGGGCCATAGATCTCGGCCTCCGTTACGGATCGTGTAGCTTTGTTGGTGGAGAAATGTATGTAGTTTGTGTTTAGTTTGTCTGTCTCTGTTTGCTGGTTTTATGTTAAAAAGTGTTTCCCCATGTATGTGGCTGTTGATTGTGTGCACCTGGTGCCCCCCCCCCCACCTGTCTAATTGCTGATTAGTGTGAGTGTGTATTTAGGCTCTGTTTCCCTGTCTGTTGGGAGGCTGGTAGTGTGGTGTGAGATCCCTGTGGTTGGTAACGGTGTGCACATGTTCGGCAGGATTGAGGCTGTGAATCGTTGTCATATGTTTATGATTTAATAAATGCCCACACCGGGTTATATTTTTGGACGTTCTGCCTCTGCCTCCTTGCTTGGTCTGGGCCGCTCAATTGTCAGCTTCACACTCCCTATGGGAGGGGCAGACCAACCAACCAGCTATGCTAAGCTACACTATGCTAATCTATTATGCTATGATGCTCTGCTATGCTATACTATGCTAAGCTAGGAAGTCTTGTTGGGTTTTCTTCAGCTGCACATAGAATTACACCTTCATCCTAACCCTCCCTTCTACTGATCTTGTCCTCTCCTGCCCCCCCCACCCAGGTCCAAGCCTCTCTCACTCCCACCTCTGTTTGCATCCAAGAAGCCCCTCACCTCCTCCGTGTACAGAGGGACCCAGCTGGGTGGAACTGAAGAGGAGCTCCGGGGGTTGGACAGTCTGCAGCGTGCACCATGAGGGATGCTGTTCAACCAGAGATGCGTGTTGGAGAGGGAGAGCCGGGGGGGCAGGGGGGGGTGGTGGTGCACTGCAGGAGAGAGCTGCCACAGCGCGCAGTGGGTGAAGCAGGGGCACCGGAGCACCCGGCCCTGGAGAACACGGGGACACGCTCCCATAAGAGGGGTTATTATATCTGAAAGATGTTGCAAAAAATGTTGCCCTGTAGTAGTTTACTAAACATGCTATGGGCCAAATATGGAGGTGTTACTACAACAGCCATGAGACAGAACCATCCAAATGAATTGGAAGTGTTGATATAAAGCCATAACAGAGCAGCATGTTGAAGGGGAATCATGTGTTGTGAAGGTTTTTCTGCATGTAAACAGTCTGCAGAGTCACAAACCCTCAGAGCACACCCTGTAGCGAGTAAAACTCTAACACAGAGAAGACCTGTCTATGCTGCCCCAGAACGCCTCGTTGGACATTTCTCTTTTTCCATTTTCAACCTGAGCAACAGTTTATGGCGAGTACGGCAAATAAAAGTTGTAACAAGCAGTAGTGCTGAGCAAAGTGACTAGAACGCAACCACACACTTATTAAAAAAACAAACTTTATAAAGTCAGGCAACACTAACCAGGCTTCGTGTGATTCTGTTTATTTGTACCTTACTTTGACCATCCGTTCACTGTTATTGATCATTGTGGAGAGCAGGCAGAAGTTTTGTTTTGTATTATAGCAGCTATCGGATGGAATCAATACATGGGCTGCACAGGTGTTCATGTCCGACTATCACAAGTAGAATCATAATGAAAAATATGCCGGTAAAATGGTCGAAATGGCCATGATATGGGACCTTTTAACAAATCACATTCCCAGCATTCTTAGCAGCACCACACTCACTTGTACTCTCCAGGGGCCAGGTGAATAATATGTGGGTTAACCTCTAAATCTGTGTGTACGCACAAAGACAGAAACATGCTTAAAGTCACACATGAGCCTATAAGGGACATTTATACACAGACTGTGCTGCATGGGCTGTCAGGGGCAAAGTCCACTACGCCACATACTTGGCATGTTGGTCTGATAGCTTTGTGGATGTTGGGTTTAGCCTTGTTACTCTTGTTACCTGCTTTCTGTAGCAGTGCAGGCATGATTCCTTTTCAAATGGTCTCAGGAATCTCCTGTGCTTGCTTTTCTTCATCCTTCCAAACCATTTGCCATACAAACTTTTTGATGGAGGACTTTTACATACTCTACTATAGGCTCTAAGTTGTATCCTATGATTATGTTGGAACTATTTTAGCCGGTGCAACCATAGGCTTCACCTGACACTAATAGTCCGGTGATTATTTGTCTAGGATCCACCTTGTTCCTACAGTAGCTCAGAATGGACAAACCGAACTCCAGAGAGGGCCTTTATGTTTTCAAGTTACCTGCAGGGACGTGCACAGACATTTTGGGGGGCAGGGGCTCAAGTGAGAAAAAGGGCACATCCCATAATAATTTTTTTTTTTTTTTAAATTAAATTTTTTTTAAATATAGTTGCACATCTCTGCCTTACCGACCAATTAATTGTAATACCCTCACACTCATGCAATTGTTTATACTCAACATAATTCTACAAAATAATCAGTTACAATGGTCTTCTTTAGTATTCACTACGCACAAGAGCAGACAACAACAAAGGAAACTATGCCACAATGTGCATGTTTTTATTATAGCAATTTTAACTAGTAGCATAGAAAACATGCACATTGTGGCATAGTTTCCTTTGTTGTTGTCTGCTCTTGTGCGTAGTGAATACTAAAGAAGACCATTGTAACTGATTATTTTGTAGAATTANGTGTTTTTATTTTAAAATCTTGGCCACTGATCAAATTGCATTAGCTGGACAGTTAGTGCCAATTAAAGCTGTGTGTGTGTGTGTGTGTGTGTGTGTGTGTGTGTGTGTGTGTGTGTGTGTGTNNNNTTCAGTGGACACCCACAAATCTCTTCAGATTTCAGAACCAGGGTTCTAAGTCTTAAATTATAGTTTCACGTTAACTCCTTATAATGATCAAAATGTTACTTTTTTAAATAAAGCACAGCAGGGATAAGCACTCAGTCAAAACCCAACATCTGTCAATAATGCACTCTATGGACAATCTTGCACTAATATTTTGCACATTCTATGTAAAATGTTGCACTAATGTACATTCTTAAATATTGAAGTTATTTTGTATATATTGATTGTTGTGTTTTTATTTAGGTCTTAATGTGGGCACATGTAAAAATAGGTCTTTGATTCTGTGTATATATATATTTGCACACATATTTTTGGATTGTGGGAAACGGTATTTTGATCTCTCTGTCTGTACACACAAACTGAAAGATTGACAATAAAGTTGACTTTGATATCTAAGTTAAAACTGTAAACTGCCATTCACTCTCAATTAGGTTGAAAAGACGTGTGAAAAGTCTTTATTGCTTGGAAGTAAAAGCTTCCAAGTCCTACACTGTTGTTAAAAGTTAAAGATAAACTAAGACTGCACTGATGCAAGGTCACTTTTAGACCAAGGTGAAAGAAATCAGTGAGACCAACACTGCTAGATTTCACAGTTCTCTGATATGATACAGAGTCTGGATGGCATACTCACAACTATGAAAATAAAATATATATAAAGTTCAGCACCTTGCTAAAGTGAGAGACTTCACAGCCCTACAATGCGATCCAAAAGCACAGGAGGTGTTCTGTCAGTGCAGATGTTTGTTTTGGAAGAGAAACACTTTCACAAGTGCAAGTAGCAATTACACGTTCCTATTGGAGGACCTGTAATTATGTGGAAATGCCAACTGGCAGCAAAATGGTCTGCGTAATCTATATGTGAGTATCATATGACAAGAACACCTTATTTAAGGATTTATGAGACAGCAAACGAGAAAGAGGAGAACATAAAGAGATTTTCTAGGAAACATTTCAGTATGATTGAGTTAATTTAAGGCCATATATCAAATGTGTATAAACTTATTTATAACATGCAGTTAGATTTGGGCCCGATCTAGAGAGATTGGTTAAAAAAGTGACACGCAGCAGAGACTCACTTGGGGAACGCATCGAAGCAGTACGTTTTCTTCGTGTCGGGGAAGGCCACTCTCATGCCAGATGTGAGAGGGGAGTGCAGAACCACGGCAGCACACTCATACCGGGATGCCAGGTCCACAGTGGGGACTGTTCCAATGCTCTGACCGTACAGGATGATGTTCTCTGGGCAGATGCCAAACCTGGTGAAGACCAAAGAAACACTGAACACATTATAGTGCAGGCTAGGGCTGCTCCATTATGGCAAAAATCATAATCTCGATGATTTGGGTCAATAATTGATATCACGATTATTCATTTACTTTGAAAACATCAATATATTAAAAAAAAGAAAATGTGAACAGTATGTTTTTAACAGTTGATTACCCTGAACTTTAAGTATAATTCAACTGAAAAACCAATAAAAAAATAAAATAATCGTTTTATTTCGATTATGTTGTTTTCATAATCGTTGCAAGCCAAAATCGTAATTGCGATTAAAATACGAATAATTGAGCAGCCCTAGTGCAGGCTAATGGAAGTCATGCAATGAACCCACGTACATACAGTAAGTACAGCAGTGAGAGATACTATATACAGTAGCACCAGTTAGAAATATGTATTGCTTTTCATTGGCTCATGGTTTGAGAAGGGGAAGTTACATTCGGATTTGTATTTTATTTATTCGAAAGTCCACCAGATTTTTTTGTTTATTTAAATATTCTTTGGCTTTACATAACAACATCTCTTTGCGTGCTTTTTGGAAAATATCTGTCGGACACCTTCACCTAATCTCAGGTAGCTTCAGAGAAGTCAATGTTTAGTATTAGCAATAACCGCTTCACAGTTGGATGAACCTTTCTTTTTTCTTTTTTAAAAAGGTAAGGCAATGAAATCACATTTACATACGTTAACAAACATTTTTAATTTGCCCGCAAAGTCCTGTGGCAACCGCCCATACCACTGACACCAACCTAAACTCACGATGCCATAAGAAGACTAAAAAAATACAAGGGAAAACCCAAAAATATTTTACAACAATACAGAAAATGACTTGGAGTGACAGCTACACCTAAATGCAAACTCACCTTACTCCAGCCCTTACTCAACGCTCCGTGGTGTCGCTGCCTCCTCGGGCTTCAGCCGCATTAAGGCAGCTCTGCTTTCACTAATGAGACACTTTATCACATCGCATCGTCCTTGAGAGACATCTCTGCAGGCAGCCTCCCTTCATCCATCCGTCTCACTCTTTTATTCCCACGGCATCTGTCCACACTGTGCTCCACTCTCTTCATCACAGCTTTGCCTGATCACAACCTCTGCCACCTTGACTCAGCCCTTCCTCACATCTTAATCTGTTAGTTCCCTTTTTCCCGTCTTCATGTTATGACCCCTTCTTGCTTTTTTTTAGGGCGTACAACAGAAGTACCACTATGAAAATCTAAACATATATGCAACATGGTTTGTTTTTGCTCCAAATTGAATGTATGCGCCATGTCTGCGCCCCTAAACAAGACACTGTATAACACATCATCCTTTGAAGGACACATATGAGCCAATTATAACATACCGTGTGCGCAGGGCGTGCCAGGCAGCGTCGATGTCTGCGTAGAGGTTCTTCTCAGAGGGCTTCCCAGTGCTCACACCGTAGCCTGAGTAGTCGTAGGAAAAGATGTTGCAGTTGATGCGAGTGCCGAGGCCGATGTAGAAGCTGCTCATCTGGCCCAGGTCCACCGCGTTACCGTGGGAGAAGAGCACTGTAAATCTGGAGGATACACATGAAGGACAGGTTAGTAGATGGGCCCACAATACCTGACAAGAAATTTATTTGAAGTAATATAGTAGTCTTTGGCAAAAGAAAAAGTTGTGGTCCTTACCTACCTATACTTTTTCAAATTGGTATTTAGTGCCTCTACTGTGACATGTTTACACACTTCAAAAAGCTCTTTATTTTTCTCATTCTGCCTACCCCTTTTCCCCCTCTGTCTGAAACCAGAGCAGTGTTTTCCCACACATAGATTTGACATGTTATATTAGATTGCCAAAAAGTTTATTTTCAGCCTGATTTCGCTTCTTTTTTTGTTTATCTGTTCTAACAAAACAGACACAAACAAACTGTCAATCAAAACAAACCAGTTCCTCACATTTCTCCATCACAACTCCAGCCTGGTAACTCTACACTGAATGAAACCATAGGCAACCTGTTGCTAGGATAAACCCAGCAGCGTTACTAGGACTCGGTGCCAACACGTCATTGTCTAAAAAGGGATACATGTTTAAGGATTGGTTCACTGCTCTTGTCAAATCACTCTTACTTCTAGACATTTTAAAACCTGAGAAGCTGGGCATCTACTATCAAAGCTGGGTAGTCTAGCCCTCGCCTTTTCTTCATGGTGCATGTTGTGTTCTCTTGAGAAATCTGATCCTTTTCTACACGCTGAATCCCTCAGTGGTTTTGTTTATGAACCCATACAGCCTGTGGCTTTGCTCGTGGCCTTTCCACTCAGAATGTGGCAGATCAATGACTCTGCCATATGAGGTCTGGTTTGGATTCATTGTGTAATACTAGATAGACATTAATACAAGAGACTGTAACACAAGCCTGTCCATGTCTTTTTAATTGATTTAGTAAATTAATCAGCAGCAGCAAACTGCAGCAGGCTGGGTTAAAAGCTGGAGGTAAATACCTTCACAAATAACTTGGCACATAAAATAAAACTTGTTCTGCTAAATGATTTAATCGCTCATAACTATGTACCTATGTGCCAATAAATGCAGTGACACAAGCCTACAGTCAGATAGCAGGAAATATGTATTCTCTGACCACTGAAACGGATATCATGTCACTGGTATTGTAATAAACTGTGGGTCACCTCAACATTCACATTTCTAGATATTTACAGCCCATAAAATATGAAAATAGCATGATTTCTCACGAAAAAAAGAACTTTAAAATGCCGGCAATGGCCTATGGAAAAGCAGGATGAGACAACTGTTGAGCCAGCTGAGTCAACAGAGAGGGACAAGTAGAAAGGAAGTAGATATGGAGATGAGGGGAAACACTGACAAGGAAGTATTGTATGGAAACGATTTGTAAGGAAGTGTGTCACACTGTCATAGAATGAAAAAGTAAGGTCACACAAGCCATCACCTAAATTCTACCATGACTAAAAAGGTAGGTGAACTTTGGAAGTCTCACCTGGCATTAGGAGCACAGCGGATGTACATGCAGCCGACTTTGTTCCCCCTGCTGGATCGAGTGAGGAACACCTCCGTCATGTCCATCTCTCTCTGTGAGTACTGGAACTCTGCTCGCTCAGTCAGGTGGAGCTTCCATTTCCCCTCTACAGCCCCTCCGCCTCCAGCCACTGTCGCCCCGCTCCTCACCCGCAGGCTGGGGGTACCTGCGACCCCCGGTGTTGCTGGACCTGCCTCGGGGTCCGGCAGGAAGGCGTAGGTGGCCTCAGGGGGCAGGAAGGCCAGCTTGGCTGCGATGCGGCCGGGGCAGGGCGGGCAGCAGAACAGGCAGCAGAGCTCGCTGAGAGACAGGCCGTTCATCCTTCACTGTGCCGGAGGAAGACAAGAGGATTACTGTGCTAATGAAAACACATCCTTCTAGTGTAAACACAATGAGATACTCATTACAATACGAGCATTCAGTCCAAGTGTGGCAACAACATGATCGCTCAATGTAATGATTACAAGTGCTTGAGGAAATAGCACGTTATGACCATGGGCTATATATTGACAATCTATTAATCACTTAAATGATAGTCAGGTAATCATATTTAACATTTGCTGTTTACAGCTTCATTGACGTCAGGGGGTTTTATATTTATACATTGAAAAAAACCTCTACCATTACTTCATTTTTGATAAATCTGCAGATTAGCGACTTGATTATTTGAGTAAAAAGTCAGAAAATAGTACAAAATAAAATATAAAAGAGTTTCAGAAGTGACTATTTTGTATTGCTTTGTTGTTTGACAAAGACTATAATACTTAGAAACATTATGTCTTCCATCACATCAGACAAAGGAAAGCAGCAAACCATCAGAATAAAAAGGCTGAAACCAATTAAGTTTGAGCTTGAAAATATACATAAACGTATCAAAGTATCAAAGAGAGGTTTTTTAAATAATTTTTTTGTCAATCAACTCAACGGTTTAGGTTTCTCAGCTCTTAAACGGAATACTTTTTGGATCTTGTGTACGTAAATAAGCAAAGTGTGAGTCCTCTGATAAACAATAATAATTATAACAAATCATTTACACATATTTTGAGCGAATAGTTTAAAGATAATTATTAGATCCAGCCCTACAGGCCATCCCCCCAAACAGACATGTAATATGACAACAACAGTACACCTACCTGTTGATCTGAAGATCTTAGTGTGCGATAAAGTCAAAAATAAAAGGAAGGTATCCTCCACTTCAGAGAAACTCAAACACAGGATACTGTAAAGTGCTCTGTCAGCAGAAGGAACAATACCATAGTCTGCCAGCTGACAGGGAAGTGTTATTTACAAAGTATCTGCTGGGTTGGGTTTACTGGTGACTGAAGTCCAGATCGCACCCATTGTATCCACTTGTTTAGATGTTAACGAGTGTATCCAAATGCAGTGTTTCCCAAACGTGCCGTGGATATAAAAATATAACTTTTCTACTTGTTTTTGCCAGTAAGGACGAGCTACAGTTTCCAATACGCCTTTCAGAGTGACTAAAACTAATCCTGGAAGCTTTTCAAGGACTAAAAACACACACAGCTCAACTTTTCCCTGCACAAAAGAGACATATAACTCAAGAATAACAGCAAGTGTTCTTTTACAGGACAGATAAGCTGTTTGTCTTCGCCTAACAGCTAACGCTACGGCGGTTTAAGCTAGCAACAAGACACAAACACGGCTACCGAGTAAAAAAAAAACAACGCTTATTCGAGGACACTTAGACGTGAAAACATCGTTAAAACACCGTTTCCGACGAGAGTTTCGGTCTGTAAGAATCCATTCTGGCCGGTGCTTGTGTCTCCTCTGAATTTATGGATGGCGTCTTGTCATTTAAATTAATCCAAGAGGCTACGTGCGGTGTTTTCCTTCTTCTGCCGTTTCACCGCATCCGGAAGCGACAGCTGACCGGAAGTGACGTCAGAAGTTTCCATTGGACAATTAAGGGAAACTTGTTATCAATGTGCTGGACAATGTTGTAAAAATGTCTTATTTGAACTAAATTGTTCATTTGCACCTTTGAAGAGAAAGAAAGATAAAAATTATAGTACCCATTGTGACTGACGTGCTTGTGAATCATCAGAATTAGGTTATTTTATTGTTCCATATAATTGCGAGGCATTGCTGCATCAAGAACAGACATCCCAATAAAACATGTTTATGAGAAAACACATGTCCAAACAACAGCCTTAGATAAAAAAACACAAAGAACCAATAACTCTTGAGCCATTCACTCTTTAAAGGAGCTCCATAAATTCGCGGCATACACCTCAAAACAAACAGACTTTAGTAAAAAAAATCCCACTATACACGGTCACAAGCAAAACAACCAGTAAGTTATTAGTATTGGTGACTAGAATAATTAATGAATAACAATGATTCATTACTGTTATTGTTTGTTCACAAGACGCATCATCATGAAATTGTGGCTAGGCAACTGTAATAAATTAATAACTGACGGGAATAAATGACACACACACACACACACACACACACACACACACACACACACACACACACACACACACACACACACACACACACACACACACACACACACAAAGCTTGGCACAAGCAGCACCGAAGCTTGGCACAAGCAGCATCGTTATAACCTATTAGAGGGAACTGCATATGTAAGCCTTTAAACTTGTTTTATAGACCACCCAAAACCACAGGCGACCTTGCTAAAGGCCATGCACACACTGACACACACAGGTGTTTTCCAATATTCTGGCTGATAGACTCGTTTTTAAGGTTAAAGAGTTCGGTCAACAAAAAACATTTATGTCACTTACCGTCTAGTTGTATCGAGCAAAGCAGACAGTTTTAGTTCTAAGGTAAAATAGCTCATATTAGTGACTCAATAGAGAGGAAAACTGAGGCAGGAACTGGAGTCTTTACTTTAGTCGGATGATAAGAAGAATACATATTTGAAATGTCCAAATGTTAGTTCCTGCACAATAGCAAAAGCACTTACTGTAACCGTGTGCTCCAGATCTCACCTTTCAGATGTTGCAATACCTTTGGTGTTGAGATAGTCAAATTTTAATTGTGGTGCTCACAGCATTTAGATATTAAACAGCAATGTGTCCTTCTACAAAAACCAGCCTCTGACAAGCCATGGTCGTATAGAGGCTTTATGACACAATGTGGTACACAACATGTCAAAACAAATAAAGTGTTAAAGTGATTCTTGCTTATTGAGTTTGAAAGGTCACCACCAATAGCTTTTTTCTCCTCACTTGCACACTACATTTGTTCACTTTTCAGGTATTGTATGAGGGAAATTGAGGCCAAGTTTCTAGCCTGTTTTGATGTGGTTGTTCAAATTATTTTATAATGTTTTCCTGATCTTGTGAAGTCAAGAAATCACGCTGATGACATACTTTCTCTAATGGAAAAACACAAGTGTTACATTCAATTCATTCAAATGGCCTTGTTGCGATTCTTCCTACAGCCTCCATCGGAGTTCAACATTAGTGCTATTGTCTGGTACAACTTTCCCCTATAGTGTGTTTCTTTGTATCTGAAAACAATGTATAAGTACAAAGCAGTGGGGCCACAGCAAGTGCATGTACTGGAGCAGCAGAGAAGTCATGAATGCATGTTACAACATACCACGTAATGTGTAATGTTTTATAGCTTTTAAGAGAATACAAAAGACAAGTGTAATTTAAAATAAACTTTGTGAATTTATTGTTTTATACTTACTCTTACACATCATACAATCCTAAATCTTAAAAGAAAAACAAAATAAAAAGATATCTGGTGGTGTTTCTGGGGGTCTGGAGTGCCAAGGGACAAGAACTACAGCTCTGTGAACATTGTAGAGTTTGTCTGATGTCCCTCACGCTCATTTTTAAAAGATTTTTGCAGTGAAACTGAAATTCAAATCAGACTCATCACAACGGACAGGTTCGTCATTATTATCAATCAAAACCCTCACACGATGAAGACATTGATTATGAACCGATGTGCTAAAGACGGGATTGAAGACATCAAAACTCTCTCGAAGCAACAGAACAGAAGAAAAAAAAAAGTATATGTACTGATAATATCTATATATTATTTAAGCATGGTTGCCATAATGGATGGTGCCTTCATTACAAACAGACAAAACAATGAGTGATCAAACTGTCCTGAGTCGCAAGTAAGAACATTGTGTCTCCACCTATGGTCTCCACCCAAAACAAAGTCAATATCAGGGCGTTGTAGTTCAGTAATTGACATTACAGCTGATTATGTGAATGATGGTGGTTTACATTCAAACGGCCCATGTTTATTAAGAACAAAGAAGGTAGGGGTTTGATATGAGCAGTCAATAGAAAACAAGTGCAAACCATGAAATCCTCACGATTTACACACCTGAACAATCATTCTAAGGAAATGACTTTTACTTTGAAAGGACTTTGAATCTGTATACGCATTTTGTTATGTGACATTTGAAATGGTCATAAACCAGGCAGGCAAGCTGGAATATTCTGTATAAGAAACACAGCAACGTAAGAGCTGCTGCAAACACAAGTCCCCCTGAAAATGACACTTTTTCTCTTATTAACATCTCAGAATCCCCATGAACTCCTTTTGAATTTCAAGTTTCCACCAGTGGTAATTAAATCACAGTCAGGGGCTTTAGATGACCAACTTAACCTCAGGGTTGGTACACCGAGTCACAAAGCCATGAACACATGTCTGTCGCCCTCAGTCATACTTAAACAGGAAATGACGATGACATTTCCAATAGAAAGAGCCAGAAGTAAAGTCAACCAGGTCCAACATGGAATTCTGTGTAAACAAGGAAAGAGTCCTTCACATCCAATACATTCTGCATTGGTGTATTAAAAAAAAAAAAAAAAGACTCTGGAAATTCCTTGCAACACTTCTACTGCTCTTTCATAAATATTTAATGATCAAGATCGAGCAACATTTACAAGGTAAGCTCTTGCTAATGAAAAGAAGAAACCTCAAATGCCCCTCTGCATCTCACAAGGGAACTTTCTAGCTTTCAGTATTATCACTACGCTATGAATAGACTTCGGTAACAGGATAAAAGCATGGACTGGGAGACTGTGTTATTCAGCAAGGTTAATAAAGCTTAAGGGGCTTGTTAACAATCTGACTAGTATCGTAGAAAAGAGGCTTCATTGCCATGTGGGAGAAACTCTTGGTAATGATATACTTTGGACATAACATGGGCAGGTTAATAACTTGTAAATAAAAAAAGGGAAACAAGATTTGGGGAGAAACAGATGAGTGCCATTTGTGGCACATTTAATTTTTTGGATACTTATGAAAAGCACTTTTATACACATAGTACTATTCATCCCCATAGTCCCCCACCTTTATTACCTGGCAAAACTCTACATTAAGGTTATACTATATGAATAGGATCTGTATGGTATTTACATTTGAAAACAAAAACTGTAGAGCCCTGTTAACTTGAACCTTAGGGTTCCTACCATGCATTGTGCTACTGATGTGTGGCTTTTTAGACATTTCCGCTTCGTTTCAAACTGCGAAGCAACTCGTACGTCTGACTGCACGCATGCAGGTAAGTCGGATGTTCCTAGGAGAGGCTAGCTGGAGACGGCCTTGTAGTAAGGGCTCGTCTGAATCTGAGCACATTGAAAAAGCACAGCCCGCATCTCTGTAGCATTGTGACAATCTTTACTTTAGCTGAGCGGAAGGAGTGTCAACGTGCAGAGTCACCGCGACCCGGGTCAGTCTTCATCCAGCATGTGTCAGTGGTCTGCTGGTGGTTAGAGGAACATGGAGCTTTACTCTGACTCCAAAGAACAGAAAAGGGATTTTAGGGAGAACACACTGCCTTACTTAACAGGACGTCTCATCAATCAGGCAATTTCTTTAGATGACCTGCTATACAGGTCAACTATAAACTGCGAATGACCCAGATGCTGAATGAAACTGAGGTGTAGCGCATTATATGATGGTCTGCAGTTGACACCCTTTGTTGTGCTTTGTTTCCAAATCCAAAAACTATGGATGTTTTACTGCACAATTATTAACTGTAACGGCTTAACTGGACTCTACTCCATTATGTCAGAGCTTGTGTATTTTTTATTAAATGGTTATATAATAAAAATGCAAATTAATTAAATATAATTGAAACGGTTAAGTGCAAATCTTAATGATTTGCTGACACATGCGGCCAATCCTCCAGCACAGACCATCCAAACGATAAAAAATAAATAGAATGCAATCACACAATTCAAGCTAACTACAATATATTAATATAGATCTTCTGATGTCATACGCTCATTAAAACAGAAAGAAAAGGAGAAATAAAACACAGAACTCAATCACTCGGTTAAGTCAAGGTTCTCCCCTACCCTTGCCCCTCCAATAACTGTTCATGCACCCAATATCAGTATGATAAGTAAATATATCAAAGAGAAACACTTCTGGAAAATGCTGAGTCTTGGGAGTTCAACGTATGTTCGGTGAGAAAGGTAATCTGCCAATTTGACATGAAGTTGACATCATTTTCAGTCTGGGAGAAAACAATTATATTCCAAAGCCCTGCTTTTTTTGCCTTTAAAAAAAAACAAAACACGTCTAATTGACCTGTGTGTCATTATCCAGGCTGGGACACATTCCTACAAAGTCTCATTTCAACTGCCTTTAGGGATTGTATAAAAATAAACCCACACGATCCCCCAAGTTGAGAAACAAAAAGGGGTAAAAATCTAAAAAGCCTTCCCTCCCCACAGCAACACTAATGTCCACCAGGCCCCTACGGCTCTCTCCCTGACTCTCAAGCAAATATGCACACACACTTTCATACAAACACACACTCAGGTTCAGCCGCAGTCACTTGTGGAGAGAGAGGGAGATGCGAGTAAGGGAAGCATCTGGACAGTGG